AGCCCCATGACCACCCACGTTGAGAATGACGTTTTGCGGTCAAAGGCTGATTGCAGCCAATCGGAATAACAGGAGGTTTATTTAAACTTATTTTTACATTCTCTCATGGCCCTGTTGTGGTTTCTGCCTGATGGTAATCAGAGAGTGCATTCCTGATCTTGATTTTTTTTGGTATGGCTTCATTTTTTACTTCCCTGATTTCTGGTATCCTTGACTTTTGGCTTTCACTCATCGGTGTGTCTGATTCTATATCCCAGACCTCGGTAAGTATTCTGACTATTCTTGGATACGTTAAGTCCGTCCATTCTAAGGTCCGGTTAGATGTTATCCTTAGTCCTAGGTGTGATACAGTTCTGTGTGCGGGATAAATTAGTAATCCTGACAGTCTGACCCCTGCAGCATGTTGATGGACGCCGGCCGCTGCGGATCTACTTCAATTAATAGTCCCATATCCGCCCACGGCATGGACAATTTCGATGTCCACGTGACGTCAAGCAAAGGACGCACACACATGTTCTGGGGTCAAAGGCCGGTTGCGGCCAATCGGATCCACTAGGGGGGTTTTTAAACTCATTTAATTCTTCAGCTCATTGCCCTGTCGTGGTTTCCCTTAGTTGTTATCCGAGAGTGTATTCCTGAGCGTTTATTTCTGGTTATTGACTTTGGCTTTGTTTGACTTCCCTGTATTCTGGTATGCTTGACTTTTGGCTTTCCCCCATCTTTGTGTCTTTTTCTGTATCCCTGAACTTGGCAAGTATTCTGGCTATTCTCTGGGACGTTAAGCCCAGCCATTCTAAGGCCAGGCATTAGTCCTAGGTGTGACACAGTTCTATGTGCTGGATCAACTGACAGGAATACTCCAAACATCATAACCACTACAGCTCACTGTATTGGTTATGGTACCTGAGGTACCCTAATGGGGTGGATGAGCACTAGGGCACTCATGGGACCAATACAACTACACTTAGTGTTCCTTTAAAGGAAGTTAAACTTTTATGTCACTGCAATGTTAATATATACCATGGTATGAGTGCTGTAATCCCTAAACATTGCTCTAGAACTGATAAAAGTTAATGTTCCTGCTGTAATAACTTTAGTACCTGTACAAATCTAATAGCAGCGGAATGTATTGTGCCTGGTTAAATAACTGTATGATATGTTCTAAGACTTCCTGGCTAAGTTAAAAGACTTAATAAACCAGACAGTTAGTATGCAATGTAAAGTACATAGATGTACAGGGCAAAGTTAACAAATATGTACATTATCCATTAACCACAATCAAGTGCAAATAGATTAAACATTCAGCCTGTTCTCACATATACTGACCTAGAGCTGGGGACCAAACTTACTCAATGTTTCAGCTATTGCCTTTATACTGGGGATCTCCGTAAACCATGGTCTCAGGTATCTTATATACCTGAATAGAAATTAAAATGCCCACCCACAAAAAAAATTATCAATTGTGCTATATAAGTAATGTACATTTTTTTTTTTACTTTGCACTGTACATCTATGCACTTTACATTGTATACTAACTGTCTGGTTCATTGAATGTATTTAATAAATTAAAAAAAAATTCTTTGGCAGATATTGGTGTGCTGTGGGTTTCTTGCAATTTTTGTATTTGGTTTTGAGTTAACAAGACTTTCTCACTTTTTATTATTTTTAAGTTATTTTTTTAAATTGATTTTTAAATATTATGATTTAATATCATAAATAACAGACATGACAAACTTGACCAGGAAGAAAAAAGTATACATGAATAAACTAACATGGTAAGCATATTCATGGTCGAGAGAGACAAACCGTAACAAACAGATTCCTGTGGGGAGGAGTAGGAGATGCCCATTTGAGATTAGAGAAAAAAAGTTATGCGTCTATTCATCAGGGGCCAGAGTCTTGAATCACAGAGTGCAGAAACTTTTCTCCCACTTTTAGCACCATGTTGAAGTTAGTGCATGTTACACTGGGTTACCAATCGAAGAAGAGCACTTGCTATATTTTTTGTATGTATATATCCTGAAAATACTTACTTAGCAAAACCAGATGTACAGATAGAAACTAGGGGATCGCCTATAGCGTGAAGACTTTAAAATACCACTGGGTTCAGAGCCACCTGCTCATTTGACTAAGCAACAGTGCAAGGGGATATTTCTGGTTTCAGCTTTTGAAATATCACTTGTGTAACCATCAGAGATTGGTTAATAGAGGAAGGGGTGGGATTTCTAACTCCATTTATTTAATCTTGCAAAATCCCTTACAATGAGTCTGTGTCATCAAAGAGGCTCTGCCTTAAAGGACCACTAGAATGCCAGGAAAACATACTCGTTTTTCTGGCACTATAGTGCCCGGAGGGTGCCCCCACCCTCAGGGTCCCCCTCCCGCTCTGGGGAGAGAAAAGGGGTTAAAACTTACCTTTCTCCAGCGCAGGGCGGGGAGCTCTCCGCCTCCTCTCCTCCTCCTCTCCTCCCTTTCGGCTGAATGCGCACACGTGGCAAGAGCTGCGCGCGCATTCAGCCGGTCTCATAGGAAAGCATTTACAATGCTTTCCTATGGACGCTTGCCTGTTCTCACTGTGATTTTCACAGTGAGAATCACGCATGCGCCTCTAGCGGCTGTCAATGAGACAGCCACTAGAGGATTTGAGGGCTGGATTAACCCATTTATAAACATAGCAGTTTCTCTGAAACTAGCTGGACCTGGCACCCAGACCACTTCATTAAGCTGAAGTGGTCTGGGTGCCTAGAGTGATCCTTTAACAGATAACTCAGGTTACATTGTTTTATGGGTGCCTCTAAATTCTTTCCCGTTTATATTTTTGATCCATTCAATTTTATTCAAGTTTATTAGAGGTGCATTATCTCCCAGACCATCTGCTTCCTAGACATACACTTGCATCTCAGTTTCCTCTTAATGTTTATCGACAAAGCCGTTACGAATCACGCATTGTAGCACTTCCTCATGCTTCGTTCTCTGTCAATTAATATTTTTTTAATGAAATTGTAAGGAAACCTTGAAAGAAATACACCCATTTTTGTTGATTTATTTGTTTTAAAAAAATTAGTAAAGCTGAAATAAGAAGAGAAACATCGAAACATATGAACTGTTTTAATGTTGGTTTTCATATGAATCCACACATTTTTAGTAGAACTATCCCTATAGCATGTTCTGCTGGTCAGCTACCCCCCATCAATGTCTAAAATTTCCTGATGTCGCAGTCATGACTGCAAGGCATAGGGCTGTCACTTACCTATCATACCAGGGACTGATTACAATTGCTAGTTCAAGGTTTTGCAGACTAGCATCTGCCACATAAAAGTTTCAGTGAGAAGATAGAAGTGTCAATCTCCGAATACTGCAAACATGAATGAGTAGAGTCCTATTACTTTCAAGGTTCTGACACCTATGTTTGGTTTATCAGTTGCTTGAAGTTTCTTAAGTGCTGAATATGTTGACACTGTATAAATGATCATCTCAAAGCTATGCAAATGCACTAAAGTCCTACAAAGACACTTGGGTATCTTCCCACCTCATACCTCCACTGTATCCCAGATTCAATCATGTAAATACTTATGTGAGCTCCAGACAGTGCTCGGATGTTCTGGTAGTCCTTCACTGGAAGAACAACTTACTGGAAGACTTACTCTCTGACATTTTTTTTCATTCCTGGTCCAGCTGCTTGTCTCTCCTGATACTTTACTTGATGTATGGCCTCTTTCATTGGCTATGAATATCTTCTGCCTGCTCTAACATATGGACTAGATTATGGCTTCACCTGTTCCTGCACCAATTATGTCTGCTACCTCATACATCCCTGGTTCCTCCTGAATAATGTTCCAGATCAAATATTTTTGCTCTGATTTCCTTTTTAGGATTGTTGTCCTTTATGCTTCTGAAGCATTTCAGGAACACAGACCTTCTCTTCTATAGGAGTACCTGCTCTTGGTCATAAACCCATTTGCGACTATACTGGACTTCTGGACTTTTCAGTCACCCTTAATAAGACATTTTCCCAATACCTTCTGTTTGTTCAGCTCTCATTAAGAGTTTTCATATCGTAGGTTCTGTTATTATGGGTCCCATTTTAAAGAAAAAACATCCTTGATCATAAGAGGAGGTACATATAGGCATAGACAGGAAAGAATGACTTCCCCAATGCATTCAGTTGTAACACGTAAAAGATTACTCCAAGCAGTATGATCTCTATAGTGATTTGAAGTGGTCATGTTTCCTGGAGTCTGCATACGCAGCATTTGTCTATGAAACACTGCACATAATGAGGCTAACTCCTCTGCTGCTGGAGGTGTAGCTTCACCTTCTGCCGCATCATCAAGGCGTCATTTGCCAGCTTGGGCCGGCTAATATCAATACAGTGCATATTTGGCGTCTGACACCAGCACAGGTAGTATAGTCCCTCCCCATGCTGCCTTCAGCCTTCCTTCCCTAAAATCTCTCTTGAGGGGAGAGATAAAAACTGAAGAGGATCAGGTGGCAGAGAGAATTTGGCCTCGACTCTCTAGGTTTTCGTAAAGTCCTTACATAGCCAACTTGGAAGTTTTAATAGCATTAAAAGACAGAAGTATTTATTCAATCCTATATAGAGTCTGAAACAAATGTAAGAAGAATTTAGGAGCCCGAAACAACATTTTGAGAGTCATTGTCATTTATTTTTATTTTTTTAAAGGAGCCGGGAAAGACAGATCTCTAGAAATTAGCTCAACACAGTAATGTTAGGAAGCATTGCTACATGTTTCCTGTTAGTTTATCAGATTTGTTGAACTAAATTCTCATGCCTCCTGGGTATGGGCTCATTCAGTCAGATCTAATGCTCAGTACTGTATGTCCCACAAGAGTTGTAACATATAAATGTTACCAAACAAGAGTTTCCCAACAAAGAGCCTTTCTTTTTGTTGATGGAGTAACTGATGACACAATTCAATCACATACTAATTTGGGTTGAGGGAGAGAACAAGTTGAATAGGAGGGTTTGTTGCAGTTTATCAGTTTAATAATTTGGCTTCTGCTTTTTTTTTCTGCATGTATGTGTGTGCCCACGTTAGAGTGTTTCATATCCTACACTGACTGTCGAGGCAACAGGAGTTAAAACCCAGAAAAAGAGGAAGAGAAAAATACTGATGAAACGGTTGAAAATAATGAAATAAACAAGAGAATACGCAAAGGATGAAAATGGGAATTAGAACGGTGGAGGAATTACACTTGAGGGCAAATGGAGACATATAACATGGTGAAGTCATTAAAGGAAACGCAGAGAGAGATCTGGAACCCGTAAAGGTAAGTTTTGCCTAAAAAATATATAACTTTGATAATTAAAGATATAAGCTTCCCAGGTTTGGTCTTCAGGGGGCAATGGACCACTTGGGTTGTCAGAGCTATATTATAGATGTGTCTTGGAGATTCACAGTTAGGTGGTTAATCTAGTGTATTATTAGAGGATTCCATAACATCTAGCGTACTGCTATACCCAACGGATTAGCAAAACAATATTGGAAGTTGTAGGTTTACAACAGCTGTTTGGCTACCCAATGTCTTTGCAGATTTTTATTTAAAATAAGTTTTGTTTTTGTTTTTCTGAAAACTCAAATTTTCCTTTTTTGCTTAAACTCATAAGCATGGGTGTTTCTCAACTTCATGGACTTACTTTTGGAGTATGACTTTATTGGAATTTTAATTACAGTTACCATACACACTGTGGGCTCACACAGTATATACATTATAAGAAGCTACACCAGAGCCCAGACACTAGCACTCCCTAAGCATGCACTAACTAACATACACTCACATACTGTATAAATTCCCAAGATTGCTGGTCTGCATGGTACTCACAGGGTTATCAAGTAATGTGAGAATTCAAAGTGAATATAACATTTTAGGTCAAAGTATCCAATCAAGTAGCATAACTGACTTAGAGAATGTTTCCGGTTCTGCTAGTTTTATTTTGAATTTTAAATTCACTTTGGCTTCTCATTTTAGTAAATAACCCAGTTAATTGAGATTTTCAGTGAATATAAAGTAAATTTACAGTCAATTTCAAGTTTAAAGGGACACTCCACTACCCTAATATAAAATAAATATCACTGTTTAGTAGATATACCCCTGTTTAAAATGTGCATGCATTTCATTATGTATTTTTTTCATTGGGGATATATCTAAAATCAGCTTGCAAAACCTGCAGATTGCTTGTCTGCTGCCTTTGCAAGCTCTCCCCTTCTAGCCCCGCCCAGACTTTCTGTGACTACCCAAGACAGCTCAATGAGAAGTCTTCGTATATCAGATGCTCTGTGCAATTGCTGCCTCTTGCGGTTAGCTGAATTGAGCTAACAAAACCAGGAAGTAAAATTACCTGTTGACTGCTTAAAAGCCAAGGGGGTGTAACCAGGTTAATTTATAAAAGTGGAAAATTCTATTAAACTGCACATTTTGCAAAATGACAAAAAATAGGACACACTCTTCACAAATAAAGCTTTTCAGCAAGCTAAAGTTGTTTAGGGTTCTAGAGTGACAATTTAAGGACAAAGTATCAAACTGTTTACTTGAATTCAAATTTTTTTTTCCAGTTGGTCTACTCTGACCATAAGTTTAAAATTAAATTGAAACTCGATGAAAGTGACTTTAGTAAATAATCTCGAGTCATTATAAATTCTGAAATTCAACAATGCTTGTGCTGTAATACATTGTACAACCTCCATTATGTAAATAGCTGCTAGAAGGAAATAAGAAAAATGAGTTTCTGTGCAATCACAGGCATTATTCAATAATAGTTAAATGGATACTAAGGGCACCAAAACAACCTTAGCATAATTAAGCAGTTTTAGTGTGTATGTCTTACCACTGCAATCTTACTGCTCAATTCTCTGCCATTTATAAGTTAAATCATTTTGTTAATGCAGCCGTAGTCACCCCCCTCTCCCCCCCCCTGTGTAACTTGCACAGCCTTCCTAAACATTTCCTGTAAAGAGAGATCTAATGTTTAAATTTCCTTTATAGCACAGTTTAATACTGTGTAATATAGAATTTCTTATCTCCTGCTCTGTTAATAGCCTTCTAGAGCCCGCACAATCCTTCTGTGTGTGATTAAAGTTCAATTAACAGAGCAGGAGATACAAACTTCTAAAGCAAGTTACTGTCTGAAAATTAAACCATTTATTTTCATGCAGGCTGTATAAGGGGAGGGCATGGGAGGTGTGGCCAGGGCTACATACATAGAAACAATGGCAGAGAACATAATTTTTACAACAAAACTGTTCCATTAAACTATAGTTGTTTTGATTTTAAGAAAATGTACTCGACAGCCGCCAGTCTAACAGCGTTTGAAAGTTATTTGTGGTCTAAAAAAAATTGATTGATATTTGCCTAGACTTCTATGTAAATGGATAATTTAAAAATGTAAAACAAGTAATCCCATGTAAAGTACTAAGGAAAAATGTGTTGATATTCTGTTTTCTACGTTGTTTATGTGTTATATTGTTATGTTGCTTCAGAATAAAGTTATCTGTCTTCAGAGTGAGAACAATTTTTGAATTTTTGACATGTGTGTTCTGTATTATCCATCTATCTCATATAGAACTTGATTGCGTTAATAATACACATATATTCAGTATATATACCACTCTCATTCCATATTCCTTAGTTGCTTTTCTAAGAAAGAACTTTGGGTTTCATTTTCAGTCATCTCAGTAAAAAATATTTCACTGTTTACTGGGGAGAATAAAGCAGTAAAGGTCGCTTACCCTCCCTATACTTCCACATTGTAGCAACTATGCCATCCAATGAATGCTGTACTCGCGCTGCATTTTATCCAGCAGTGTTGGGCATAAATGCACCATGCCTACGCTGTTCATTTACTTTTACTTTGCCTGGCATTGCTTGGCATAGCATGTAGATGAAAATAAAAAATCTATAAAGAAATGACAGCTATTCAAAACTTAGTTATCTTTAGTTATCTTAGGTTGCGTTAAAATTGAGGAAGTAAGTTCCTTTTAAAATGAACTGGGAAATATGGCCCGGCACTGCACAGATGGTATAAAAATCAACTTTTATTGTGGTTCCATGAAAAGCAATGTTTTAAATTTCTCAGAGGTCTTTGTTGTGATAGTACATCAGCGAAAACAGAACGAATAATAAAGGTTCAAATGACAAGGGATCAGAAAGTATCATATGATATTGTGACAGACCCATCTGTATGACTATTATTTGTCGGTTTGTCTAGTTTGCCTTTCTTTCGTGGGAATTGCCTGTTCCTATACCCCCATGCGTATGTTTGACTTTTTGCCAAATTAACTTACCAAACGGACGGCCACCCAGAAGAGAAGTGTGCTGCTGGTTAACCTCTTGATCCCAATTAGAACGTTGTGGTTAACCGCAGACACCTCTTAATTATAACCGAATACAGGGTGGTCGTCGTTCGTATGTCGACCACGAGGCGGCGGCCATTTTAAACCACACGAAAGACCAGCGGTGTTTGGCACTGATTCTATGGAACTAAAAACTGACACTTTTTCTGCCGAACACCGCTGAAACTACAGACCGCCCTTCTCAGTCGACAAAAGCATGTGAACACCGGCCGTTTGAGAGTTGTGGATTACACAAAGAGACTTAACCCAGATAGCCTTCCAATGGAGTCATACCGAAAGACTGTAAAGACTTTGACTGCATGGCGATTGAACTATGTGTATGGGATCTGAGCGCTATTCGCTAATAATATGCCCTCAGATCCAGGCTATCTGGGGATACGTTACACGAATGTAATATGTTCGGTAGTTGTGCAATTATTTATTTTCAAGTGTTTTCTGATGTTGTACCTAAAATGGCGATTTGTCTTTGTCCTGGAGATAATTGAATTACTTCTCAATTATCTCCAGGGCAGAGGTGAGGAAACCATGATGCATGGTGGGAATCCCTTAAAGACATACTTGAACGCCGAGGATGGTCAGCAAGTAATCTAAAAAAGCGAGAGATTATTGCTTTGTTATTGGAAATGGATGCAGCACAAGGAATGGAGAGAGCTAATGTGCCCAGCATTCTGGATCTAACACCCAAGGAGACACAATTTAACCGGGCAGTCCAGATAAGGCTGGCACACTTTGGCCCCAACCTTACAGCAGACATTGTGGACCGTGTGCAGGCAGTGGTGATGGCCTCCCCAACACTCTAAGAAAGAGGAGCTGCAGCAGCAGAGGTACCCAATAATAATATTGGGAGAAAAAAGGTACCCTTTGCTGCATTTAAAATTTTTGTTGAAGCAGAGGGAGAGATTGACAGGTTCCTGGCGGACTTTGAAAGACAGTGTGCCCTACACCAGGTACCCGCAGACGAATGGGTCACACTCCTCTCTGGAAAATTATCCAGCCGGACCAGCGAAGCGTTTCGGGCCATTCCAGAGGAGGAGATGACTAGCTAACGAGCAGTGAAAGATGCCCTCTTGGCCAGGTACGCAGTGAGCCCAGAGGCATACCGGCGGCGATTTAGGGAAACCAATAAACAAGCTGGCGACTCCTACATAGAGTGGGCATGCAGAGTCCACCGTACCACAGCCCACTGGAAGCTGCCCGTTTGGCAGATGAATACACAGAAGCCCGTAAATTGGACAGTACGGTTACTAAAGTCCCTACCAGAGTGGAGTACAGACCAGCAGCACGTCCAACCCCTGCCGTGTACCAACCCCCGGTACACCGCACTCCAACACTACCACCAGCTACTAGTTATGCCCAGCCATCCCGGTTCAACGCCCGGGATTATTCGCAGCCCATTAGGTGTTTTGGGTGTAAACAGTTGGGGCACAAGAGACCAGAGTGCCCACTGAACAGCGCCAATCAAGCACAGTCGTGGAGAAGACCAACCGGCGGGAATCAGCATCCCCCCAGCCTGCTGCTCACTGTATCAAGCAGGAGGAATTTTGGGGCATATTACACGAGGCCGACCCTGTACAGGCAGCCCATCAGGACAACCGTCAGCAACACCGGCAGACTGTTAAGCTGAATGGCAGAGTGGTGAATGGATTAAGAGACACCGGAGCAACTATGACTCTGCTTCAAAAGAACTTGGTCTCAGAACACCAGCATACCGGAGACACTGTGGCGGTGAGGGTAGCAGGAGGCGCCGTGTTCCGCCTACCTGTTGCCCGGGTCCATTTGGATTGGGGAGTGGGCACTAGGCACTTTGATGTGGGGGTCATGAAGGACTTAGCCGCTAATGTACTCCTTGGGAACGATTTGGCCCCTTTGGTTTCTGCTTATGCCCCGATGGGCCCCGCTGACATTAACCCTGTGACTACCTGTGCTCAGACCCATGCTACTGGAACCAGTTTGCCTGCTGCTGAGACCCAGGTAAGACCTCCTTCCCCGACTGGCACCCTAGGTCAGGTCCCTTTAAGCTGGGACTCCCCGGAGGAGTTTGGGAGGGAAACCCGAGCAGACCCGACTCTCCAAAAGTACAGGGATAGAGCAGATGCTGGAGAGGAAAGAGTAGATGGGGAACGGTATGAGTGGGTAGGGGACAGGCTGTATAGGATCCCTAAGCCTTCCCAGAAGAGTGTTGCCCCTCCGCCGAATCGACAGTTAGTGGTACCTGCAAAATACCGGCAGGAGATTCTGCGGATAAGGCATTATGTTCCATTAGCCAGACATCTAGGGTCTCGCCGCACAGCCTATAGGATCACTCAGAATTTCTTTTGGCCCAACTTTAATCAGGCTGTGCGGGTATACTGTAGTACGTGTGACACATGTCAACGGGTAGGAAAGCGGGGGGACCACCCTAAAGTTAGGTTATTGTCAATGCCTATTATAGGGGAGCCCTTTTTCTGCATAGCCATTGACATTGTGGGTCCACTGACCAGGGCTAGTCCATCCGGTAAGAAATATATTCTCACTGTGGTGGACTATGCCACTCGTTATCCAGAGGCAGTAGCGCTGTCTCATATAGAGGCAGAGATGGTTGCTGATGCCCTGGTTAGGATATTTACTAGGGTCGGGTTCCCTAAGGAGATCTTCTCCGACCAGGGAACCCAATTCACTGCTGTGCTCACCCAGCAGCTGTGGAAGGTGTGCGGCATTAAACCGCTGCTTAGTTGACCCTATCATCTACAGACGAACAGTCTCTGCGAGCGCTTTAACGGCACCCTCAAGCAGATGCTGAGGACCTTTACAGACACCATGATGCATGGTGGGAATCTTTTGTGCCTGTGTGTCTGAAAAAGCCATACGTCTGTCTATCATTACAGTCTCCCATTTGATCCCCTAGGGGAGTGTCCACCAAGTGGGAGACCTGCATAAATACGGGCGGGTAGCCCACAGTAAACCCAGTTCTTGTTTTACCCTCAATGCAGACCCTGGTCTCGTTATTGGGGGGATTTACTACACACGGTTAGCGACTGATTGCTGGAAACGTAAACCGCTTGGAGGATATACTTGTTAGGCGGTTAGCGACGATTAGTGGATTATGTTCGGGAGTTTGGAGCACTCTTACGGATCCCGTTCGGGAGATTACCGCTTTCCCCTGGCTGTGGTTCGTACGCTGAATTATATATGA